CATAAATATAGGATATAAGATATACTGTATTAAGGAATATTGCCTACTATAAGTCTTTCCAGAGTTTTAGGCCAAGATCTTTTTACAATGAGAAGAGATGGAGTTGAAAATGATTACCTTTCGGACAGGTTTTACAACAATGTCCTGGCAGCAGGACGGGATCATCACAGTCCAGCTCTGGGCAGTCCTGCTTGATGTTCTTACAGTTTACCTTCCCCAGCACTTTACCACGACGACTCTTTTGCTAACAGAAAAACAGACACAACAGTGAGCTCACGGAGGGTAAGAACCAAGTTAGAGTGAGAACACACACAAAGTAAAAATGGCATAATAAAGTGCAATGGGCACTAGGCATGGGCAGGCATGAGATTCCGACAGTATAAAGTCGTGCAAAAATACCCGTTTCACTGTATTTAAACATTTATAAATGCAGCACAAGATTTTTTTTTAAAGCAAAACTGAAATGAATAATACTATCACTGTCAAAACATATTGCATCTTACTTACTAATTTTAGAGGTAGAGTAGTATAATAGTTCTAAAAAGTATATTTACTTATATGTATTTTTCCCCAAGTTTACTACACAGATATAAATATGGAGACAGAGAGAACACAGGTAAATGTGTTGCAGTCAACAGGCTGTTCTTCATCCTTGTTCTTCAGCTCTTTTTAAAGTTATGTTTTATAGTGAGTGGGGAAGGATAAAAAAACATATGAGTGGGATTCTCATAAATGGGCCCATTGGTCTCCCCAAAAAGACACTGAGCTTTATTCAAACCTTTGCATTCCCCGGATGAAGGACACAAGGTTAGAAACACTCAGTGTTCTGAACATCTCTAGGTCCATAAAGTGGTCCCCAACAATTCTCTTTTCCTTTGACTACTCAGAGCCAGGCAGTGGCCTAAGTAGTGCAAAGATGTCTCTAATTCAATGCCACAGGCATCACACTGACCACGGTCATCAAGTCCCATCACCACTTTGTAGCGATTGAGCAGGTTGTGCCCAGTTAGGACTCCAACCAGTGTACTTAAGGTTTGCCTTGTCAGGGCAATGAGAGCTTCCCCAAACCTATGATTTGGGTCATTTATCAGTTCCCATGTCTGTCTACAGCCTGTAAGCTCCCTCCAGTGGATTGAGTGTTGACGTCTGATCCAGGCCTGTAGGGCAGTCCTACAGACTGTTGTTGAGATACCTACAACAGCCTCTGGTCCGTTGAAGTGGGCCTGACTGACAGCTTTTGCGAGGTAGTCAGCTCTCTGGTTGCAATAAATGCCAGTATGTCCTGGTACCCATTGAACAGTAACACTGTTATCTCTTCTCAGTTGGTTGACTGCTTCGGCACACTCTCAAGCAAGTAATGACTTAAGTGAACCCCTGCACCTACTGACCCTTTCAGAAGAGATCCATCTGTAAAATATTAGAAGAGATTGGGAGAAATGTCTGCCATCGAGAAGTTACTCCAGGCTGACCTATYTTCAATCTCTGTCTTAGAACTCGGCTCAAAATTGTATTTTTGACCATGCTGTCTCCGCGGCCTGCAGTTACTGAAACAGCAGTGACTGCCCTGTCCCAGATTCTAGTGTGCTGTGAGTCAGATAGGCTTTCCCACCTACCAGACTGGTGTAGTCTTACTACATTGGATGCAAACATCCCTAAGATATGCAAATATAGTGAAGCCAGGTCCAGTACTTCAAGGGCTGATATAGGTATTGTTCTGATGGAATCTGTGATGCTCAGGCAGGCCACACGTTGCACATGTGTGAGCATCACTCTTGCCACCCCAACTTGGACTCAAACCCATAAAGCAGAATAGCGTAGGACGGACTACGGTTGTGTATATCCATCTGATAACCTTTACCTTCAATTCTACAGCACTGGTGTAAGCTCATTGCTGTGTTCTTATGCTATGTTCCAGTAGGAACGGGAAGTGAAAATTTTCTTGCTCCCATTTGTAAATTTAAACTGGAATGCCCCCTGCAGTGGTAAATCCCATTCGTATAGCGGGAGTGAATGCAACTACCCCCAGTTTTGATTTCAAGATGGCGGCTACTCACAGCTTTAGCAAGTTAACTTGTACAAGTGGTGCATTTTCTGTGCATACTGTATGTATTAAAATCAATGTTTATTTACATGACATACATAGTAGAGCTCTCGATTATATTGTGACAGTGCTGCAACTAGTCAGCGGCAGCAATACATTAGCCTGTAGGCTAATTGGAATGTGGTTTCATATGGTTTATTGGGAAATTACGTCAATACTGACTGTACCACACTGACTGAGTTACCTAGATAAAATTTGCAATAAAAAGTCATATTAAAAACACAAGATAATAGGTCATTTTCAACCTCATCTGTACTAAGTCTAACCTAGTGTACTAATCTGATTACTTAGGACTTAGTACAGCAGGCAGAAGAGGTGTTCCATATAACCAGAACAAAGAAACAACAACAAAACTCTTGTGTATCTTTTAGGGATGTAAGACAGAAAAAATGTTTTGACATCTTGAATTTTAACAGTGGTATACCTTAAAACTAGTAATTGGCCTACACAAGACTCACAGGTTCGCAGTGACACTGAACACAGTGCATGACACCAAAGGGATCTCCCAGATCTGGGTGCCACGTGTCCTCCAGGGAATAAAATCGACCTCCAAATGAACATCCTGTAAAACATTACAGCAGATTACTCAGAGCTGTCCTCAAGAATAAACATAAACATAAACATATTGTGGCAGTAATCCATGTTTGAACTTATATAGTGCTATATCAAGTTCACATGGACCCCAAGGAGCTTTTCACTTCAGGCATTTACCCATTCACACACACATTCACACACGGATGGTGGTAAACTATAGGGGTTAGACAATAAAACTGAAACACCTGCCATTTTAGTGTGGGAGGTTTCATGGTTAAATTGTACCAGCCTGGTGGCCAATCTTTATTAATTGCACATTGCACCAGAAAGAGCAGAGTGTGAAGGTTCATTTAGCAGGGTAAGCGCACAGTTTTGCTCAAAATATTGCAATGCACACAGCATCATGGGTGACATACCAGAGTTCAAAAGAGGACAAATTGTTGGTGCACGTCTTGCTGGTGCATCTGTGACCAAGACAGCAAGTTTTTGTGATGTATCAAGAGCCACAGTATCCAGGGTAATGTTATCATACCACCAAGAAGGATGAACCACATCCAACAGGATTAACTGTGGATGCAAGAGCTGTCTGAAAGGGATGTTATGGTCTAAAACCAGATGTTGCAGTTTTTTTTGTCTAACCCCTGTACATTGTAGCTACAGCTGCCCTGGCTGCCATGCACCAGCGCCACTGGACCCTCTGACCACCATCAGCAGGCAAGGTGGGTGAAAGTGTCTTGCCCAAGCACACAACGACTGAGACGGCTGGAATGAAAGATTGAACCGGTGACCTTCCAGTTCCAGGACGACTCTCCTAATCACTCTGCCACAGCCGGCTCATATTGTAGCTGTAATCCATATTCTTTAGCTTCTCCAAACTATCTATCAGCTTCATTAAAGGCTCAGTAAAATTATATCATTAAAGCAATCAGACAAAACCATTTGGAGTTGGCCCCATTCAAGATGGTTGTCAAAGCCACCTGGCTTTAAAACACAAAAATGGCAAAAATGCACAACTGTTTTTTTTTTTCTAAATACGTCTGCCATTTAACAAAATAGTTCATCAAAATTTTAATAATAGTTCAGGAAATAATCATTGGATATATGCTTACAACCCCATTTAAAAGGGCCGACAAAGCCAACTGATCTTAAAAAGCTACAGTATAATCAGTTCTACAAATACTGTGCTATTTGCTGTGGTGATATAACATTTAAAATTAAAGAGTTTTGCTGTACAAATCTAAACAAAACAAATGAACTTTTGAAACCGGCCCTGTTTGTTTGTTAGCAAAACCATTCATAAATCACCAGATGGATTTTAATGACCCTATCAGAAAGTAGTCATTACGTGTACCAAAACAACTACCGAATGACTTTGAAAAAGACAAAAATGTCTATCACTGATTTTGATTTGAAGTGTGATCTGGTAGCTGAAAGTCATTAACATTTACTCTGAGGGTGGCATCTTCCAATATTGCATGAGATCTGGGATAAAGAAATTTCTGTTTAAGCTTGAAAACAGCTACGACTCTGTCGTTACCCTAAAAATGTGTCCTGATGGGTGATGTGCATTTTTTTCAAGTGTATTCACACCAGGAAAGTTCTTTGGTCCGCTTATTTATTTATTTATTTATTTATTTATTTATTTATTTATTTATTTATTTAGTTTGTTTGTTAGTTTGTTTGTTTGGTGTGGTTTGCATTCACATTGGGCTTTTTTGCAAATGAACTATAACTTGTGAACAAAGCCACAAGGATGATGATCATTGCTCCCATTGAACAGAAAGGACGGGGGGTGGTTAAGCACACAGACCCAGAAAAAACAAAAAACATGGAAGTCCTGCATGCTACGGTTCTGATGTTCACACTTGTGTCATTATTACAACTGCATTACCATGTAAAATGTCAGAAGCAGCTAATTAAATGGTGGTTTCACGGTGATATTCTGATTTTGGAGCGGCGTCAGTAAATGTGTCCCGCAACCCAAAGGAGACGAGATGCTCTGCATGTTCTGACCCACCACATGCTGCCAGCAGAGCTGCTAAGCAGGAGACAATGAATCAGGTATGATTTCAGTTCATTTAGCTTAGCAACGGTGGCCCGTGAAGTCCAAAAAAGGGCATGTTTAATGCAGTCAGGTCTGTATTAACACCAGAAGTGAACTGAGGAGAATCGTACCAGAGTTCGTTTGGAAGCGGACCGAGACCACCTCAAAAAGTGGGTCTTGGTCCAGTGGGGTGGTCCGCACAAGAGTTTGCATGAGTGTATTCACATCTGCACCAAAGGTCCAGACCAACACTGGAAACGAACTCCGGTCCGTTTAAAGAGGACCAAATGTGTCAGGTGTGAATACACACTAAGAAAAAAATGCAACTCTGATAAAGAATTAAAAATGTTACTCTGCTCAGCTTCAAACACACTAGTCCACTGTATTTTATTCAACTCTTAACAGCAAATTGATCTTGTGCAGTTCTGTGCCGAGGCATGCTGGAAGTGATCAAATCTCCCTGGATGCTTCACAAGTTTTGGTGCTCAACCTTCCAACCCGGTCTAATCTAAACAAGCCAGCAGCAGACACACAAACTGTTCCCAGAAAGTCTGTCAGCCATTCCCAGGAAAAAGGTTTTCTAAGGGATTTAATGACTGGTGATGGTGATAGCAAACAAAGCACAAAAAATTCTACAAGAAAAAAAATAATTACAGAGATCACTTTCTGTTGATATTTACATGTTAAAACAACTAAACCATTGTTTGATCTTGAATATTATGCTTTTAGTTTTATTACTTGCTATTGTGCTTTAATCAAATTAGATTTGAACAGACAAAAACACATTTCATTCAAGACAGCTGCCACATATGACTTGTAACCACAAAGTGGCTACAGCTCTGCCAGTTTTAAAGATATTGAGCCACAGTTTGGTGTGGTAGTAGCTGAGAGTGATTGGACTACAGTGGCTTGGCGATCAATCACAGTCTCATAATCTTGAGGCAGCAGGGTTGAACCCAGGCTGCATTGGGAGGGTCATCCAACATAAATCAATTGCCAAATCTCTCATTGAGTTAACGCACTGTGATGACCCCTGCAAAAAAAAATAAAAATAAAAATTAAAAAAACAACTACAAGTGGCTGAGTGTGCAACAGACAATTCAATCTCATTAAGCAGCATCTTTGCTTTAAACCTTACAATTACCGTTTACGTTGTTTGTCTGAGAGCTAAATATCTTTCAAACTCTGAGTAATCAGAAGTTGTATGTCTATAACTGATGAACTCCTGGAGTCAATCCAATTCAAAGTGATCACAAAAACTAACCAACACTTAAACTAACTAGTATTCCTTTAGACACACTGAGTTGTTTAGCTGAGAGTTCCAACAAATATTCTAAGCACTAACAGAGATTACACTTTATTGCATGAGATTTTTGCTTAATGTTTTAAAAGGTTTAAACAAAATGGCTAAGATGATTTGGGTTTATAACTCTGACATGAAAAGTGGAAAGTGCAATGCATTCCTTAATGGAGTCATTTGAATATGTTAAACTTTCTCATGAGAACATAGCCTTAGATAATTGTTACTTTGTATAACAAAGCAATCAAGTTTGTCAATTTTTTGACTGAATCTAGTGCAATAACATTTAATTTCTTAGAGTTCACTTCTAAACCAGGATTGTAAACCTAAAAGTCTGCTTTAATTTGTGGGGACTTCAGTGTATGTTGTTAAGGCAGTGAAAAATAGTACTTAGTGTTATTATTACCATACTAAAGGGATAATTGAGTGTTTAGGCTGTTAAGGAGTATCACAGTGATTTATGTTGAAACTGTCAACATGTCTACAAGCAGTTTTACCGATAAGATCTACCACACTTGTTAATACTGGAATTTTAGAATAAACAAAAAATGTCGTTAAAGTCCTAAAATTCCATAAAATTTTGCATATCATCTGTTAGCTTTAATGCCAGAGTTAGATCGTCTATGGCAGAGGTTCTCAAACTGGGGTCCCAGGACCCCCAGGAGCCCGTTGTATGTTGGGGGTCCTCAAAAGATTTCTCTAAATTGTTTTTTATTTAAAAAATGCATATGGTTAGCAACGCACTAGTAAAACAAACACACTAAACCAAACCAATAATAATATTCCCATGACATTTTGGGGTTAAAATGACAGCATATGTTCAAAACAACATGGGATTTATAAGGGGTCCCCAGACCCAAAACATTTGAGAACCCCTGATCTATGGTGAAAAATGACAGATTTGTAGTGGTTCTGGTGAAACATTAAAAATACTGTTTTTCAGAATTTATTGCAAAACATCAAAGGGTCATTGTGAATGACTCTCAGCTATGAAAACTACAGATTTTAGCTCAATATCTCTAAAATAGACTGAGTTATAAACATTTTTGCATTGGACAAAGCTGATTAACTTTGCAAGAAATTTGATTATTTCAATAATGAATCAACTGTAAATGTCCAGATTTCTACTTACTGAACATTTCATTAAAATCCATCTTGCAGTTCATTAAATATTTTGGTAAAAGACAAAGCTGCCTTCAACGGTTAATGCTAAAGTTTTAGAAAACATTGTAGACTAAGCAATACTTAAAGGGTTGCTGCAGATGTACATCCATCTGAGTTACATTAAATACTCAGTGACTTGTGAAATGTAACAGCAGAGTTGACTCAAAATGGTTTGATTGCAATTACTGTACTTGCACAATCTCTTGTTCTGAGTATGTGTTGGGTCTCAGTGACCACACCAAATTCCAAGCAAATATTAGAAAAACTGGGTTAGAAGCATTTTTGTAATTTTTTAAGATAAGTTGACTGCGGCAGCCATCTTGAATTCGGTTAACTCCAAAAAGTAATCAGTTGTGTGTTGTGGATCCAATGATCCAGTGAGAAACTATTAGTAACAATTATACAAACACACACAGAGAGACAAAAACACTATCGCCCACCTTACAGTATTACACAACAAACAGTCCAGATTTTTTTAAAGAAGGGCCAAACTGTGAGCTGCTGGCTTCAACTGCCACTTGTCTGTCTCTGCTGAAATAAATCATGTGGCAGGAGCCGGTGGCTGTAATGGAAAGTGGATTGATTACAGTTTCCAACATTGAATTATACGGTATGAGGCGGTGCTTAACACACAGCTCTTACTGGTTTGCACTCTTCCAGTAGTTTTACTTTGTAAAAACCACAGCGAGCTCTGCGTGAATTAAAAGGCATCCACTGCTGTTATGAGTCACGGCTTTGCCGCTTGTTTAGGCCAACAAATGCACAACAAAACGGAGCTGAAATGTTTTAAAGGAAACTCACAAAGACCAACTTTGTGTGTCATCAGAGTGGGACACATGGGAGGACGCTATCTCAACCATTGCTGTGTTTTGGCTACCACTTCACGTACAGCTCACAGGTAAAAGAAGGCAATCTGTTTATAGGACTTTCCAGTGTAGGAGTAGCTAACAATTTCTTTAAAAAAAAAAGGTCAAGCTGCCTTGAATACCACCCATTGTTTTTATATTAAAGTTTTGACACAACTGAATTGAGTAAATGTAAAGTGAGTGAGTGAGTAAAGTTTTATTTATAAAGCGCCTTTCACAGAAATATATACACAAGGTGCTGAAATTGAATTGCTAAAGCAATTTTAAATGCACTTTAAAAGTAAATGCATTACATTTACACAATTCAGTTGACATGATTTGGTTAGGTAAATCCAATGCATCTGTTTGTTCAGTAATTGCCAGTCATCTCACACTGGATTGTGAATGACTCTCAACTACAAGCCTATCATATTAGATTTTAGCTCCATGTCTGTGAAACTGAATGATTTATAGCCTATCTACTTTAGTGGTGACTACTGAAGAGCTGTGGCAGCCTTCTTGAATTGGATTCACTGCAAAAGTTTATTACTTGTAAATATGCATCCAATGATTAGTTTCATTTAAAAAAATCTAGACATTGTTTTGATGTTTTGCTGAGACACAAAAATACACCAGTAAAAACCTGATGTTGTTGGAGGTGAGCTTTAAAAAAAAAACAGATGTGCAGAGGTTCTCAAACTGGGGTCCCAGGACCCCCAGGGGTCCGTGAGCCGTCTGGCTTCTCAAAAATTGTCAATAAATTGGTAATTTGATTTTTAAATGCATATGGGAAATAATGCACTAGTAAAACAAACATACTAAAGCAAACAAAAAAAAAATAACATTGCAATGGCATTTAGGGGTAAAAGGAACAATAAATTATTTTTGCATTACAGCATGGGGTTTATGAGGGCGTCCCTGAAAATTTTCACCCTTGTAAGGGGTCCCCAGACCCTAAATGTTTGAGAACCTCTGTGCTAAGGTACAAAAATGAGACTAATTAATTGGAATTAAAATGATAAAATATGTTAGCTCCCTGAGTTAAACATTATTCAAGATGCAAAATGAAGAATTTAAGTTTGTCAATTGTACATAGATGTGTTAGCCGAGTGAACTAATTGGTTTTATATCAGGCTCTGATATCTGAGCGGCCATAGCTCTGTTCAGCTCTGACACAAAAGTTTCCTCCGCGCGCAGCTTCACCTACCTGACAGGCCCTTGGAGGGCAGCGGCTCCCTCTCAGACTGGATGGGCAGAGCCGCCTGAGACTTGAGGCGCGAGGCTGCTCCTGAGCGGAGCCCGCACGCGCAGCTCAGCGCGCACAGCAGCAAGGAGCGGAGCGCGCGAGGAGCCAGCATCCCCCAAATAAGCTCCGCAAAAACACTTCTTCTGCCTTTCCTTTTAAGGACCTTAAGGTTGACTTGTTCCCCGCGCCGGTGAAACAAAGTACAAGTTGTTACCTCCACGCAGTGTTTGAAATCATCCGGGTTTCACGCAGACGGTTGGAGGACGCGACCAGCTGCACAGTCCTTGTGTGAGCTGCCTCCTCTGGGCCGCCCCTCTCTGTTTTATAGCCTGCTCCTGACAGCTTGAAGCGGCCACCGGCCGGGAGGGGGGGGCAGACAGAAGAAGGATGGGTGGGGGTGGGTGATGGAAGGGGCAATCATCGTTCTAAAGTCAATTAATTAACGCTTGAGATGTGGAAACCAGTCTGCGTCTGGGTTCAGCTCCCAAAGCCTTTGTTATACAATTTCAGGAAGCAGATGCTCATCCCCCGCTGCAAATATATATATATA